AAAAAAAAAAAAAAAAAAAAAGGTTGAGAATCTCTGGGAGAATGATGGTTCTCAATCAGGGATGTGTAGTGGAATCATCTGGGCAAGCTTTAAGTTAATGTCCTTATAGTCCACTCCTTGGAGATGATAATTCAGAATGGGACCTGGGTATTTGATACTATAAAAACTCTCCTAATAAATCTCAAATGCAAATAACACTACTATAGGATATTGCTTTATATATTTTTCCTAACATTTTCAGTATCTCCCTTTTCACTGACGATTTATATTCCCTTCGTCAAACTTGAATTCCTCAGCCTTTTGAGAAAAAAACTGTATGATCTGTTGTTTCCTTTCAATGTTGTCTTGTTTCTTTTTAGTCTCAGACTTTCATTTCCTTCTTACTCATTTACAAATTTCTGAGGGCTAATGGTTCTACCAGTTTGTTGGAAGGAAAAGCTTTACAAATAGTGATGAGATGGTTCAAGTCCTTATGCAGTCAGATTTACGATCCTCTGCTTTATATTTGTTCTCCTTTGTTTCTCTAAATTGAATTTCTAGAAATGGAATTGGTGGATCACAGGATATACTGTATATGTCTTGGGGAGCCTGGGTGGCTCACTCTTGATTTTGGCTCAGGTCATGATCTCATGGTTTGGGAGCTCGAGCCCCATGTTGTGCTCTGCGCTGACAGCATGGAGCCTGCTTGGGATTCTCTTCTTTTTCTCTCCACTCCCTTATTCATGCGCAAGTGCGTGTGTGCTGTCTCTCAAAATAAACATTTTAGAAAAGGATATATATGGTTTAAAGTTTGATATGTATTGCTAGGAAGACTTCCGGAAAGAATAAACCAGCTTTACCATGCTTTCGGTCAACAATAGGGTTTTGTCCGTCTTTTTTTTTATCGGTGGGGTAGACAAAAAAATAATTTATTGTTTAAACACTCACTATTAGTGTGCTTGAGCATTATTTCCAGTGCTTATTGGCTATTTGCATTTCTTGAAGGCCTGTTTTTCCTTTGCACCCCCCCCCCCTTTTTTTCCTGGAATATGTTTATTTCTTCGCATCACATTAGACTCTTGCGTTGTTTGGGCTTTGCCAATGAGGCAGAACTATAGTTGGGGGGGCTTGGCGTTGAGGCCTGGGTTCTAAATGTAACTCTGTTGGTGTGCACATCTTTTTGCTTCTTTGGATTTCAGTTCTATAAGATGAGAGGCTTAGCAGTGTTTCCTCCTCCCCGTACTGCATGATGTTGTATGTCTCCTCTCCTCTTTCTTTCTCCATTCCTTTCCCTTCCTTGAATCAATACACAGGGCTATATGGGGTGTAAAAAGTGTAATTAAAAAAGGATGGCTTTTAATGCGTCCTTTAATTCACAGTCCTTCACTAGTTCTTTAGTAACATTTGAAGGCAGTACCTGTCTTAGCCTTTCTCATTTAGCCTCTTTATTTCATAGACTAACAGTGGTAGAAGAAACTCTGAGGGTTATTAGGTGTTTGCTTTAGATTCCAATCCAGTGTAAGAAAGATGAGCTAAATTTACCTTACGCATCTTATTCATTCATTCATTTGGTCAACAGAGACTGTTTGCCTGCTCTGTGCTGGGCATTGTTGTAGGCGTCACAGAGACAGTGGTGAAAACGAGGTAATGCCTTTTTTGCTGATGGAGGTGACACTGTGGTGAGAGAGATGGAGTTCTGTTCTGCAGTTACGGTGTCAGGTTAGAGGTCAGTGTGAGTGTGTGTGGATGCTTGGTCTCTGTGTGGTTGTCTTCGATGTGGTGGTTAGGAAAGGTCTCTCCCAGGAGGTGTCATTTGAATAGAGAAGTGGACAGCAAGCCATACAGCTATTTGGGGGATGATATTCCAGGCAGAAAAAAAAGCCAAGTGTGGAGCCCTTGGAGTCAGAAACTAGTTTGGCATACTCAGAATATGGAAAAGGTTTAGTATAGTCGGGACAGAGCGGGTAGC